AAATGTGAACTGCATGATTGTAATGTGTTTTTTTACTGAAACTCCCCTATTGATCGAATCCCGGGTTTGAACGAGAACGGCACACCACGTGATTCGTTTGCATACAATGCTGAAGGCAAACATGATGACTTACTAGTACTGCGTGCTACAACTTCGCTTGCGATGTTGCTTGTTAGTCATGGATTAAATGAATCTTGATTACCAGTTAAAATGTTGCTCATTTGGCGTTGGTAATCTTTATTTGGAACTGGGTAACGCCGCAACGTTGCCAGCAGAAGCCTCCTGGTACTTCGTACTATGATAAAAATCAGTCAACATGCATCAAGTTCTCTCAATCGTAGTATTCCATGTGTACACCTAATATGCCAAAAATGTTGCTGAACGATTTGAACTGGATAAAAATAGCAGATGAAAATTTGTTTACAAAATGAAAATACTACGGTTGCCAATGAAAACAAGCCGGTAAAAAACAAGCAATATGTTTTCGGCTGTTACCATGGTATTACATGAATGTCGTGAAGCTAACGTCGGTTTATAACTAAAACCGGGCACCTTATACCAGGTTCGCAAAATAACATTCAGTTTTTAAAAGTCACTTTATTTTATTGCTAGGACGTATTCAGCCGTTAAATGTATTATTTCCAACCGTTTTGCGATAGTATTTTCTAGATTGGAGGCAGCATTTACAGTTTAAAGTTGCGTTGGGATTACGTTGATACAGTGTAACAATGTCGGCGCCGGTGATCTCTTACCAGTGCGCAACGTAGCCAGAATAAAAGGCATGATCATTTGGCAACTGCTGTTACAAGACTGGTAGGAGGTAATAAATTTGAGGCGAGAGTATTCAAAAAACAGATTTTGGCTGTTGGCATGGTAGCGGTGGGTCAGGATTGTTTTTCCAATTAGTGATGGTACGACCTGCTTGTCAAAATCAGCCAAGCCAAAAAAATCACAGAAGAGTTGAAAAGCCATTCCTGGTGAACAGTTACTCTAACTTCGGGGTCAACTTTCTCATTAATGAAAACAGATATCAAAAATTCAAATAGTAACTGTGTGCCCACACTCAAGCCGAGTACAATGAGCTATGTCTGAGGTGTTGCATCACAGGGAGTTGGACAAACTTATGTATTTTAATAAATTATTGAATAATAAAATGTTGTATAACTTTTCTTTTACCCCCCTCCCTTCCTGGTATCTATTTCAAGTAATCACTGATATTTGTTTATACCACTCTTTCCTTCATCACAATCTTTGTTACGCGCTAATGTTATATGGAGATTTTAATGCGCGATGTAGACACACCCTATTATAGGATATAACACAGTCCCTCTAGTGGATATAGAAATATTTTACTATAATAGGGTGTCTACATCTCGCATTATTATGCAAGTGCAAATGAGGTCTGAGCGCAAATAAAGTAGTCCCTTCAGGAGTACCGTTTTTCGAAATATAGCAGAAATAAACAATATTTAGAAGTACGATATTTTTCCCTTGGGGTACATAAATATACTTGCCGAGTGAAATTAAATTGAACAACAGTAATG